GAGGAGGAGGAGGAGGAGGGGGAGGAGGAGGAGGAGGAGGAGGGGGAGGAGTGGGAGGAGGAGGAGGAGGAGGAAGAGGAGGAGGAGGGGGAGGAGGAGGAGGAGGAGGGGGAGGAGGAGGAGGAGGAGGCGTTGGAGGGGGAAAGCATAGGATATCCAAGGGTGCGGACCGCGGGGCGCTCGGCGGGGCGCCCCGCGCCTCGCCCTTCGGCCCCGATCGCCTCCCCTTCCTCGGCGCGCCCCGCCGGTCCTCCCGAGGACCTCGCCGCCGCCAGCGTGGTGTCGTCAAGCAGTGGCGAGGCGTCCTGGCTCGCCTATAGCCCTACCAAACAAGGGTCTAAGAACCTTTTCTGGTTCCCACGACATGTTCTTGGAACATTTCTGGCGGAGACCGTCTTGGTTTGACACATCGTGTTCATGTTCTACGAACATTGTTGTTGTTCTTAGAACAGTTTTGGGTTCTAAGAACATTTCGTGGTAGGACGATAGGAATGCCAGGACGGTCGGTCCCTGCTCAATGTCGGGCACGTTTCCCCCAGACACGAGGAAATTTCAAGAGCCGTGGGGAAGAAGAAACACGTTGGCGACGAGTATGTCTTGCTGTCCTGGCTCTTTTTGAGATCTGTGTGGCAGTTTGTTTCGTTTCTCTTCCAAAGAGCCTGGTTTCTCTTCCAAGGAGCCCGCCTGTAGGAGGACATGCCCGACCTATAGCTCGTGCTGGTCGGGGCGAGGGCCGCAGTGGCCTCAGAATTGGGTGCTGCACATTTTTGCTCTTGCTCGCGACGGGCGTCTTCGCCCGCTTCCCGGGCCTCTCTCTCTCAGCCTGATCCGCACTGAAGGATGCTGCAGAAACAGGAGGTGTGGGGCTCCGGTGGTGATCTGTCGCGGTGGTGCATCTTTTTGCTCTTGCTCGCGACGGGCGTCTTCGCCCGCTTCTGGGCCCGGGGCCCTCTCAGCCCGACCAGGACTGAAGGATGCTGGAGAAACAGGAGGTCTGGGGCTCCAGTGGTGATCTGTCGCGGGGGTGCATCTTTTTGCTCTTGCTCGCGACGGGCGTCTTCGCCCGCTTCTGGGCCCCAGGGCCCTCTCAGCCTTAGGTCGGGCCTGCCCCTCTACAGGAGGAATATTCAAACACAGTCCAACAATAGTCAGGGGACGATTTTTGTAGTATTTTTGAACATTGGTGGTGTATGTGTTGACTATTCTTTTATGTCTCGTCCAAAATCCGCCTGTAGGGGGACAGGCCCGACTTAGTCTCAGACCTATCCGAACTGAAGAATGCTGGAGAAACATAAGGTCTGGGGCTCCGGTTGCGATTTTCGGGGGCGGCCAAGAAGAAGGTGATGACTAGGGGAGGTGGATATCATGGCGTGGGCCATGATATTTCCCCAGATTTCATGGCGCCTTTTTATTATTTCATGGCGTCCCTGGCCCCCTCCCTGGGCCGCGCACATGCCGCCAGCCATGATTTGCACCTCTCCCTCTTGGACGCCCCCCTCTTGGCCGCCCCCGAGATTTTTCGCGATGTTGCATCTCTGTTCGCAACGTCGGATCTCAGGGTGCCGTCCAAGCAGCGCTCTCGTCGCGTCCGTGGCGGCACGCGGAAAGAATCCGGCGGGATCTTGCTTCCTTCCGCTTCAGCCCGTTGAATCCGGCTACATTCGGCGTAGCATGGGCTCGGATGTGGCCTGATATGGCGCAGTGGTTTTTGGATCGGCGGAATGATTCTTGTAGGCTTGCTTTGCCCCGGGGTCGTGCCTAGGAAGACCAATCGCTCTTTCCCAGTCTGGCTCGATCGCCACTGCAGTCATTCCGCATGGTAAGCATCGGCAACCTTCCCAAGGATACCCTTGCATCCTTGCCCCTATCGGTCCATCCTTAACCACTTTCGCCGGCCGCGCCCCGCTCGAAAAGCTTCGACATGGGCGTCCAAGCCCCCTGCATCCCCAGGCATGCGACGTCCTGATTTTTGGCAGGACGGGGCCCCTGGAAGTCCCGACCTGTTTTTCATCCTGCGTCCTTTTGCGACGGCCCCGCGAGGCCAGGCGAGGGCCCCCTGAGGCCGAAATTGGCCAAAGACTTGCCGTCCGGATGTTTTTACGACGCGATCACGTCTGGGTCTCTATATCGCGCATCCTTGTGGTACGGGCCGGCTGTGGGAAGACCAGCGCTCTTTCTCAGTCGGGCTCCATCGCCACTGCATCGTTCTCGAGAAGCCCTCCCAGGAGCCGCCTCCCTCTCTTCCGCGGGCCTCCGCCCCAGCCACTGGGTTTTCTTTATGCTTCCCTGAAGTCGGGCCTGTCCCCCTACAGGGGGGAATGTTCAAAAATAGTCAGACAATAGTCTGGAGACGATTTTTGAATGGGGTATTCTGCATTTTAGAGTTTTTCGTCCAGAATATCCCTGTAGGGGGACAGGCTCGACCTAATGCTTCCCCCGTGTTCCACGTCTCGCCCTTGCCTCCCTCCCAAAGTGCCAAGAACGGCGCCCACCAGAGTGGGCGTCAGGTAGCCGGCATGGCGACCTCCAAATCAAGTATTTCAGATGCTTCCCCCGTGTTCCACGTCTCGCTCTTGCCTCCCTGCTAAAGTGCCAAGAACGGCGCCCACAAGAGTGGACGTCAGGTAACCTCCACAAAAACGTATTTCAAATGCACTCCCAGACGTCGAGGCACCACCCCCGACCTCTCAACCACTTCCCCGGGACCAGTTTATCGTCCGGGGCCGTTGATTGACGGCCATGGGCCCACTGAGAGCCCCGAGAAACCGAGCACTACGAAAAACCCCCGTCTGAAATGTTTCGAGGCGCCAGATGCCTGGAATGAGAACATCTAGGCCGCCCAGCTGGGGTCAGAGTAGAGTGGGGTCGGAGAATCGCGCTGCATCGCTGATGCATGCACGATGCGGCTCGATGCGGAGCTCGATTTGCGCCACGCAGACGGCGCCGGTGCATCGCTGACGTCGCCGACGCATCGAAGATGCATCGACCGTGCATCGTCGATGCATCGACGACGCGGCGCTATCCTCCGACACTCGGATCCCATCCAGGAGGCCTCCAGAACAAGGGAACTCGTCGGCGAGCGAGGGGGGGACAAGTGAGAAGGGGCTCGGAAGCACCCCCACCTTCGGAAGTGTTCTGAGCCTCCCCCGAAGACACAGAAAATGTATCAGAAGGCGCGAGGGCTTCTGAGAAGCCCCGCCCTCTTCTGAGAAGGCCGTTTCCTTCCCACTTCCCCCCTCGCTTGCCACCGAACAACAGGCGGAGGAGGAGGAAGAGGAGGAGGAGGAGGAGGAGCGTGGCAGAGGAGGAGGAGGAGGACCAGTGTAAACCCAAGAGTCACCAACGATGATGGAACACAAACCCTCCCTCCAAGCCAAGCTCCCTCTTCACAGGCGCCCACAAGGGTTCATTTTCACTGAGGGAGTTGCCTTGTTGGAAGACAACCGTTCGAAGTCCCTGAAGCATGCCACAAGATTGCTCTTGGGATTCCAACGCCAGGGAGCATCCTGACTGTTGCGCTGTGACGATCCTGAGCCGTGCCAGGATGCCGTTCCTGGGACTTGAAGACCGCGCATCAACGCAACTGCTGCAACCACATGATCCTGAACCCTTTCAAAACACAATTTCTGGTACGCTGACCATGAGAATCCGCGAAACTTTTGCAACTGCTTAAAAAACAGTGTGCGCGGCGCTACGGCGAGAGCCACATGTTGAAAAGGAGCCGCCCTCATGCCGTGAAGCTCTTGCAACTTTTGATTTTTGAAAACAAAGGTGTGCGGCGTTAAGGCTCGAGGCTCGCGTTACGGTATGATAAGGAACCGCCCTCAATCCGCGAAGATCTGGCACTTGTTTAAACGAATGTGCGCGGCGCTAAGGCGAGAGCCACATGTTGAAAGTCCATTCGCCGTCAATGTGTGAATCTCTTGCACATGTTTAAAACGAATGCTCGCGGCGCTAATGCGAGAGCCACATTTTGAAAACGACCCGCCATCCATCTGTGAAGCTGTTGCCAACTTTGAAGCTTCAAGGTCATAAGTGGTGAGGGAATATCAGGCGAAGCGCCCGGCCCGCCCTAAAAACTGGCCGCAGGAGTTGTTTGTATGTTGACAAGGAATGGAGCGTAGCAGAGGAGGAGGCGGAGGAGGAGCGTAGGAAGCGGAGAAGGAGGAGGAGGAGGAGACGAGGAGGAAGAGGAGGAGCGTAGGAGGAGGAGGAGGAGGAGGAAGAGGAGGGGGAGGAGGAGGAGGAGGAGGAGGAGGAGGAGGGGAGGAGGAGGAGGAGGGGGGAGGAGGAGGAGGAGGAGGAGGAGGAGGAGGAGGAGTTAGGAGGAGAGGAGGAGGAGACGAGGAGACGAGGAGGAGGAGGAGCGTAGGAAGAGGAGGAGCAGGAGGAGGAGGAGGAGGAGGAGCGTAGGAAGAGGAGGAGGAGGAGGAGACGAGGAGGAGGAGGAGGAGGAGGAGGAGGAGGAGGAGGGACGCCGTTCACGCAGACAGGCAGGCGGGCGCCCCGCCCGCGCAGGCCGGACGCGGCGGCGGACGCAGCCGCCGCCCGGGCGCGCAGCGAGGCCCTGCGCCTGCGGGGCGCGGCCGAGGTGCTGCAGCAGCGGTGCCTGCTGCTGGAGGCCGAGCAGGAGCCCGGGCCGTCGCCCCGTCGCGTGCGTCGCCCCTCCGTTCGGCGGCGGAAAAGGGGGGGTGATGACTAGGGGGGGGGGGGATATCATGGCGGGGGCCCTGATATTTCCCCAGAATTCATGGCGCCTCTTCTTATTTCATTACGTCCCTGGCCCCCCCGCTGGGCCGCGCACATGCCGCCGGTCATGATTTTCACCCCCCCCCTCTTGGACACCCCCCTCTTGGCCGCTCCCGATCTGTGTGAAGGAAATCGCTCAAGCAGCGGCGAAGCGTCCTGGCGCGCCTCTAGTCCTACCAGACAATGTCCCAAGAATCTTTTGCGGTTCCCTTGCAATGTCCTTAGAACATTTCTGGCTGGGACTGTTGTGTTTTATCACATCGGGTCTAGGTTCTAAGGACATTGCTTCTGTTCTTAGAACATGTTTTGGGGCTCTAAGTTCTAAGAACATTTCGTGGTAGGACTATAGGAATGCCGGGACGGTCGGTCCCTGCTCAAATCACGACGGGAGGTTTTTTTCCGTGTTCGGCTTCCGGGGGCCCTTGCCGGGCCTCGGGGCCGTCAAGAAGCGCCTCGGGAGGAAGGAGCCGCCCCGGGGAAGTGGCCTAGACCTCTGGGGGTCGACGTTGCGAGAAGACCGGGACGTCGGGGGCCTGGGCCGCGATCGCGCCCCGCTGCTGTGCTGGGCGCGTCTGCGCGGAGTCGCGGGAGGGAAGCCCAGCCCGTGCCCGCCAGGAAGCATGTCCAGGCCTCCCAGATAGGGCCGGAGCAGATGGGGTCGAAGGCTCGCGCCGCATCGCCGGTGTCGTCGGCGATGCGGCTCGGTGCGAAGCCCGTCTTTCGCCACGCCCATGGCGCCAATGCATCGCCCACATCGCCGATGCATCGGTGATGCATCGGCGATGCATTGGCGATGCGGCGCGGTCCTTCGGCCCCATCTGCTCGAACCCCAGCTAGGAGGCCTCTAGCATGGACCTGCACATCGGAGCCACGGGTGGCGAAGCAGCTGGCTGGGTGGCGGCGGCGCTGGTGGCGGCCCTGGCAGAGCGATTGGACGCCGCGCGTCGCCTGCCCCGCTCCACTCGGCTCTACATTGGGGGGGGGCGCCAACATGGGGGGGCGAAAGCTGAGCGCGCCACCAGGTCCTAACCGAGAGAAGTTGAGGCTAAACTGGGCGACGGCGAGGACATCCGAGACCAATCGAGAGAGACTGGGACATGTTGGATTAAGCTTGGGGCCCCGAGGGCGGCTTGGGAATGCGTTGATCCCCGCCTGGCTTGCAGAAGTTGCGGCCGGTCGCCCCCCCACCATCTCCGCCACCCCCATGTATATATATATATATGTATACACATATGGTGTAATATGTGTATACAAGTGTACATATTTACAGATAAATGTATGTACGTATGCGTGTGTATAATGTGTATGCATGTTTATTATATACATATATATACATACATATGAATGCATTCAGCATCTATAACGTACGTATGTTTTACACTATTCCCAACCCTCCTGTGTTGGCTTCTGATTTTGTCTAGAGCACTGCGGTCTCCATCCTTCCCCCTATCCCCCTCCTCTTCCCCCCTCCTCCTGCATCCTCCTGCGCTGCTCCCTGGGGGGCTGCGAACAGCGCCACTGTCGCCGAGGTCGTGGGCTCCTGGGAGGTCCAGCGGAGTTGATCTGAGTTGATGCGCATCCAGCCGAGACCTCGCTGCTCCTTGGTGGCTGCGAACTGCGCCACGCGGCTCCCTGGGAGGCTGCGAGCTGCGCAACTGTCGCCACTTTTTCGCTGCATCCTGGGAGGTCCAGCTGAGTGGAGGGCCACGCGCACCCAGCCGACATCTCGCTGCCCCCTGGTGTCTGCGAACTGCGCAACTGTCGCCACGTTCGTTGGCTCCTTGGAGGTCCAGGGGGATGCAGGGCCAAGCCGGACAAGCGTGAAACCAAGTGGGTTCCTAACGCCCCAGAGTGGGACGGCGTATGCCCCTCCCCCTTCGGCGCGTGCCCTGGCTTGTCCCCTGGCGCTTCCCTGCCCGTGCTGTGGCGCGTCCCTTGCCACGTCCCCTGACACGTCCCCTGGCGCATCCCCTAGTGCGCCCCTGGCACATTCCGTGGCGCGTCCATGCGCCCTGCGCCCCGTATCGCCTCGTCCCGCTTCGGTACTGAGTCGGATCTTGAGCTCAAGCTGATTGAGTGTTCCGCACGCACGTTTCGGCTACAACGAGCTCTGCGCCGACTATCAGGCAGCTCGAGCTTACGATGCAAATCAGGTCGGTCAGGATTCGGATACCAAGCGCGAGTTGATCCACGACACTAAGAGCACAACGCAACCCATCGCGGCATGACACATTTCATTTCCGCACAGCACATCACTATCCTTAGCAGGGTACATCACGACCGATATCTTCAGCATTGCACTTGCCTGTCGCCCAACCAAGTGTCTTGACAACGTAGCCATGCCTCACGTTTCTAATTTTCTTTCTGGGTTCGTGGGCCGATCATGTTGGCAATTGTAATGGCCATGACGAGTGTGAGTGTTATTCACCATCAAGATGATGTCAAACAATAATGAGGATACGGAGGACGGGGGAGACGATGGTAATGATGTTAAGGGTTGAATGCTGGAAGCGGCTATGGCTCGCGTCTGTGCGCCGACACAGCTCTCGGAACACCCACCCGATCTGCGCTCGAATCTGAGCGCACGAGATGCTACGTATGATGGATGAGACGATGGCAGCGACGACGCACACGCTAGCATAGCGGGTTCCATCGTTGTGATGATGGTTTGGATGATGATGATGATGATGATGATGATGATGATGATGATGATGATGATGGTGATGGTGATGGTGATGGTGATGGTGATGGTGATGATGATGGTGATGATGATGACGATTCTGAATAATGATGATGACTAAGAATGATGATAATGATGATGCTGTTGTTGATGTTGATGATGGTGATGCGTTGCGAGTGAGGGCGATGACTCGAATGAGTACGATGCTGCTGCTGATTCTGGGCATGACGACGATTTGCGATGTTGACTCGCAGCATCACCAGCAACACCATGCCAAGGATGTTACTTATCAGTGAAGATGTCGATGAGTAAACACATCTCTCCCTCCAAGCTCTTCCAGTGCGCCCCCGCACTGCATCAGGACCTGAGCGCGCCTTCAGCGCGCACGATGGTCCTACTATACATCTAGACGCATACACACACACTTTGGGCGCTGGTCAGAATGTTGCCCGAAGTTTCCCACATTGGGGATGCCGTGGCCAGCGTTTTGGGAGGAGTGCGCCGATTTCTCCGCGCCAGACCTGGCGCCTCCGAGGGGCCCGCCCGGAGCCAAGGTGGTCCCGCCTCCCCCTGCGGCCGTGTTTTTTTGTTTTTTTTACGGCGCGAGGGGTCCTTCGCAGCGAGAGTGTCGGCGACAAGGCCCAGCGAGGCCAGGGCCCCCCAGATGCCGATGATCCAGGCCCGGACATGCGACGTCCCGATTTCTGCCCTGCGGGGTCCCTGGCAGTCCCGACCCTTTAAACCGGGACCAGCGTTTCGTCCTGAGTCGCTCTTTGACGGTCCCGAAGCCCCGCGAGGGCCCCCCCGAGGCCGAAATGGGCGAAAAACCTCCCCAGGACTGGCTTTTCGTCCTGAGTCGTTCTTTGACGGTCCCGAAGCCCGGCGAGGGACCCCCCGAGGCCGAAATGGGCCAAACACCTCCCGTCCTGATTCTTTCTACGGCGCGATCAAGTCTGGGGGCCTCGCGTGGGGGCACTGAGGATGCTCGCGCCCCGCGCGTCGCCTGTCCGGGCCAGAGCGGCGGCCCTCCTCCACGTGCGGGCGGGGGGGGGGTCGGCGCGAGGGCGCGAGAACACATCCCGAAGCGCAGGGCGCCGCGCCGCCGTGCGGGGCGGCCAGCGCGGGAGGCCGACGACGACGGCGACGACGACGACGACGACGACGACGACGACGACGGCACATCAAATGGGAAACTGGCATGCCAACGAGCGCCCCGCCCTGGCTTCTGAACTCCCGATGGGTCCGCCAGGCCTTGGAGCACCTCGCGGAGCTCGTATGGCCGACGAGCGATGTGCTTCTCAGAGCGCATCGCGGGCGCGATGTGCGACGTTGGGTGCTCAGAGAACCCAGACATGATCGCGTCGTAAAAAAACAGTGCTGGAGGTTTTTGGCCCATTTCGGCCTTGGGGGCCTCGCCGGGGTTCTGGACCGTCAAACGCGACTCAGGACTTCCAGGGATCCCGCCGGTCCCGGGGAAAGGGTCGGGACTTCCAGGGACCCCGCATGGAAGAAATCGGGACGTCGCATGTGTAATCCTGGCGATTTTTTTTTATGTTGTTAGAGCATGTTCGGCCGATGTCAGACCACGGGGCCCTCACATATCGATCCGGCTCGAGAAATGGCGCAGAAAGATGGGGTCTAGGGCTTTTGGTCATGATTATTGCAAGATGCTTTGGTTCCCAACCATCCTGTTGTGCTGGGTTCTCGTTTTGAAGAGACGGTCCCCGCGTTCCTCTCCTCTCTTCTCCTTTCTTCTCCTCCTCCTCCTCCTCCTCCTCCTCCTCCTCCTCCCTCCTCTTCCCTCGCCACCGCGGATGAGCGGTGCTGCCTGGGCTCCGTGTGGCACCGCCTGAATGCAGTGTGGGTCCGATAATGTCACGCTCCTTATCACGCCCGCTCGCGGGTGCGATACGGAACGGGCGGAGGGCGGCACTTCCCTCTGGGAGGTTTGGGGTCGTTCGTTGTCGTCCTCGTGTCTCGCTTCGTCGTCGTGTCCGTCGCCCCTTTCCTTTTTGGGGGTTGCGGCACGGCCCTGGATTAAGTTCCGGTGTGGACGTTGTTTGCGCTCTTGGGCCAGAGAGTGGCCTTCCCCCCCCCCTCCCCGCCCTGGTGCCGCCGCTGTCGCCGTTGCAGCTGTCAGGCCAGAGCTTTTAGTGCCCTGCCACCTCGGCCAAGAGGTGCGGCCTGGGCGCGGGGAGACCCCGGTGGCACCTGGCGTGAGGTGAGCCGCCGTTGACGATAACGGAGGCGGGGACCACGGCTTCCCGCCTGCGACCTCTTGGTTGCAGTGCTCTTTGCCGCGGGCATACAGTTGCCGTGCTTGTGCGGGCGCGGGCGCTGGGCAACGCTCCGTGTATTGTCCCTTGGGCGCCGATCCCGAACCCCCATGCGCCATTTTGGCGCGGGGTGTACGGCGGTCCTTGGTTTGCTTTTTTTCCTCTTGATTTCCTCCCTAGGGCACGGCGTTTCTGGCGCTATTGGGAGCTAGTCAGGGACATGAAGCCGGAGGTCAGGTCCCAGCTCGTGTCCGTGATTCCCCCTTTTTGCGCGTGTGCCCTTGGTGTTGGCCGTTGGCCAGGGGCAGCGACGACGGGCAAGGGTCGGGGGCAACGATAGGGGGGGATAGGCATAGGGGGGATGCATCGACCCCGAATCGCCCATCGATGGCCGGTGAGGGCCCGATCGCACCAACCTGCCCAGGAAATTGCGGATTCACTATCGGAGGACTTTCGCCGATTCATCGGCGATGCGTCGCCGATTCCAAATCGATGTTCCCCCGCCGATCCCTATCCCCCCCTATCGTTGCCCCTTGAAGGTGGGGCCCGCCCCCGCGCAACGCAGGAGCGGCTGGCGCACTCGCTCGACGAGGCCCGCGGGGAGCTGCGCCAGGGCGCCCACGTGTCCGAGGCGCCGCGGGGGGGGGTCCTCCTCCTCCTCCTCCTCCTCCCTCCTCCTCCTCCTCCTCCTCCTCCTCCCCTCCTCCTCCTCCTCCTCCTCCTCCTCCTCCTCCTCCTCCTCCTCCTCCTCCTCTCCTCCTTCTCCTCCTGTTCCTCCCTTTCCTCCTCCTCTCCTCCTCCTCCTCCTCCTCCTCTCCTCCTCCTCCTCCTCCTCCCTCTCCTCCCTCTCCTCCTCCTCCTCTTCCTCCTCCTCCTCCTCCTCCTCTCTCCTCCTCCTCCTCCTCCTCCTCCTCCTCCTCTCCTCCTCCTCCTCCTCCCTCCTATTCCTCCTCCTCCTCCTCCTCCTCCTCCTCCTCCTCATCCTTCTCCTCCTCTCCCCCTATCGATGCCGGGCGTGCTCGGAAGTCTGCCGGCGGCGCGACGAGGGGGAAGGGGAGGCGAGGGAGAATCGAAGAAGAAAAAACAGCATACACATAAAACTTTTGGCGCTCCGCGCGGATTCCTTGGATCCGGTTTGGGCCCCCCCGGCGGCGCCTCCGGCGCCGCCCCTGGCGCGTTCCGCCCGCCAGGGAGGGTGGCCCAGCGCAGATCCAAGACATCCGCGCGGAGCGCCAAAAGTTTATGTTTATGCTCTTTTTGTTGTTCTCCTAGAGGGGGAACGGGAGTCGAGGAATGATTGAGTGCACATGTAGCGTCCAGAGCCCGGCTAGCGGAGCGCCAGAAGGCCTCGCAAAGGCCTCTGGAGGGAGCTCTGGAAGCGCTGGGCAGGAGTGTCCGACGGAGCTCCTGGAGAGCTTGACGGCACGCGCATTGAGCAACAATAAGGAAAGGCCTTCCGGGACAAGCTGGAGCTTCAAGCATCCTGCTGCGGGGATTCCTGCTGGAAGCCGGAACGAGCTCTGGGGCGACCCTGCGGTGCCGGCTTCTAATCTGAAGCCCTCTCATTTGCTCTCACGGCGGCGCGCCGAGGGGGAACGGGAGTCGAGGAAGAATCAACTGCATAAACATAAACTTTCGGAGGTCCGCGTGGATTTTTCTTGGATCGGCGCTGGGGTCCCATTGGCGGCGCCTCCGGCGCCGCCCCTGGCGCAGTCCGCGCGCCAGTGAGGGGGGTCCAGAGGGGATGCGAGAAATCCGCGCGGACTTCCAAAATCGGAAACCGGAGCATATATTGCACCAGTAGCGGGCTGTTTCTCAATCTCAGGACTTTTTGAGGGTCGGGGACGACGTCGGAGTGGTGTGGTGTGTACTTGTTTCCCCAGCTTTCCCGCAGAAAAGACGAACAATGTATTCACCAGGATCCCGTACACACCAGCATCTGTTTGCTTGTGCGAGCTCCAGTGCGGAATCAGAAAAGGCGTCGGTGTATAAAGTCCCGCTCCTTGCAAAAATGTATGCTCGTGCACTTCTTTTTGTTGATCCCGTGGTGAGAACAGGCAGGCCTTCTCGGAGGGCGGCAAGGCTTTTCGGAGGACATCTTGCCTGCGGAGCAGTCCTCCGTGGTTTCCTGGGGAGGGCTCCAGAAGCCTCTGGGAAGGCCTTAGCCTGCTGATCAGGCCCCCAACCTCAGCCCTTCGGGCCGCCGGTTCAAAGGTCTTCTTTATTTGTTCCAAGAAAGGGCGTGGGCCCAGGGTTCTCTTTTGAGTTGTTAACCCACTAGTCTCGATTTGAAGAGGCCCGGCGGAATGATTTGTGTACCGTAGATAACGAAGTCACGCCCCATCTTGTGTTTGAGAGATGTTTCGCGCGTGCCCGCGCGAGGAAAGTGCGTCCCCCATTCTGGATCCTCGATACAAGACGTGGTCCGCAGACTCCCGTTTTCTCCATTGAAAAGAGGGTGCAGAGCGTTTTGGGCATAATCTGAAATAGATATCGAAGTCAGGAGACTTTTCATAGTTTAAAGACACGAGCGCGTGTTAGCCATTCGCGTGCCCGCTGGAGAACGGCGCGACCTGCGCGAAGAAGTGCTTAGGATATCTCCAGCGAAACCTTTAATTCTGCAGAAACGAATGTTAGCTTTTTGTGTGCCTGCTCGAGGATGGCGAGCCCTGCGTACCGAATATCTGAGGGTGTCTCCAGCGAAACGCTTGCTTGCACAGCTGAAAAGGCTTGGGCGCCCCAGGATGCCCAGGTGGTTCTGGGAGTGCGGTCAGACCGTTATTTGCCAGGGATCGTAGCTATGGGAGCGTGACAACACATGGGTTCTGAATGCCCCAGACCGGGGCAAGCGTGGAAACACGGTTCCTGACGCCCCAAAGCAAGAGAAGCGTGAAAACATTTTGGTTCCTAACGCCCCAGAGCGGGACAAGTGTGAAAACACATCAGGGCCAGCTTGAGAACGCATGGGCGCCTAACGCCCCAGAGCGGGACACGCGTGAAAAACATTGGTTCCTAACGCCCCAGGGCGGGACAAGTGTGAAAACACATGGTTCCCAACGCCTCAGAGTGCGGGGGGAAGCGCGAAGACACGTGGGTTCCTAACGCCCCAGAGCGGGACAGGCATGAAAAGAAGTGTGACAATACTTGGGTTTCCGACGCCCCAGAACGGGGCAAGGGTGAAAACGCTTCGGTCCCCAACGCCCCAGAGCGGAACAAGCGTCAAAACGCATGGGCGCCTAACGCCCCAAAGCCCAAATCGGGACAAGCGTGAAAACATGTGGTTCCCGGAACCCAGCACGGCACAGCACAGCACAATGCTTGGCAGAATACGTCACGTTCGGTAATTTCAGCATTGCAATTGCCTGTCGCTCAATCAGGCGTCTTGGACACTTAGCCATCCTTTGCGTTTCGAAAATCCTTTCTGGGTTCGTGGGTCGATCATCTTCGGGTTGTGGTTGTTTTCGGTTTGTGTTATCCAGGAAACGGCTCGGGCCCAGGATTTTCCTTTTTTTTGTGTCCCTCAATAGTTTTGGGGGTACCTGCGGAGAGGGTACCTATGGTCCGGGAGAGGGGTACCTGTAGTTGGGGGGGGTACCAGTAGTCCGTGGTGGGGTACCTGTAGTCCGAGGGAAGGGTACTTGTAGTCCGGGGGAAGGTGCCTGCGGTCTGGGGGGAAACGCGTGTTCACGCGTCAACGCACGCGCGAACACGCTGTAGTCCGGGGGGGGTAGCTGTAATCCGGGAGGGGGTACCTGTGGTCCCGGGGGGGGGTACCTGCAGTCCAGGGGAGGGGCACCTGCAGTTCGGGGAGAGGGCACCTGTAGTCCAGCGAGTAGTCCAGGGACCCAGAACTATCGAGGGACAGGGGAAAGGTTTACCCCCGGCCTCGGCCCCCAGCCTCGATTTGAAGGAGGACAGCGGGACTATTCTGCGATAGATAGCGAAGTCGAAGAAGGCCAGCGGATTAATTAATATTTAGGAATGTCCAGGACTAAACTCTGGTCTTTGAAATTCCGATCTATTAAACACAGGGTAAAGTGAACATTTTCGTTTGTTGCGGATGTCTCGAGCGAGCGCTTCTTCTGCAGAAAGGATTGAGGATGTCTCGAGCGAAACGTTTGTTTGTTTTTATATTGTGTTGTTGGGTTCTCGTTTTGAAATTACAGCGCCCGAAGCTGGTTATTTCAAGAATTTGGCTTTGCGCATGTTGCGACGAAATGCTTCCATTACCTTGGAACGAGCCAGGGGCCCCAAGAGTCCAGAGCGCATAGTGCATCGTGCCCGGCTCCCGCGAGTGGTCCGCGGGCGGAAGGTTGTGATTGTACTTCTTGAAGTTTCTAGCCATCACTTCGAGCTTGTGGCCAAGGACATATGGAGGTGCACAGCGTGCAACAATTTGTCGGAACCCGCCGCTCGCCTCTTTTTCCGAACGGTTCGTCCCCGTGTGTGGCTCTTGTGCAAATTGCGCCTCCCACGCCTGAGCGTCCAAGGCGGGCGAGAGGGCGGGGCAAAGCACCAATCGATGATGACCTCTTGGTGTAGGCTTGAAATGACCAGCCACCCTCGACGTTTGCCTGCCCCTGCCTACGTCCACGGGCACAAGGTGCATGACAGCCACGCGGCCTGGAGTAAATGCCGCTTCACCTTTTGTGGGTTGTGCGGATGCTGGGCGGACTCGAAGCCTCGCAATTTGCGCATGGAGTGCCAAGTCGCCTCGAATGGCCCGGCGGCCCTCACGGCATTTCATTACGCTGGGGAGGCTCAGGCAAGGCAACCCCTTTAAGAAGAAGTGTCTTGAGTTGGGGAGCGCGGTCGACACGTTTATCGATTTGTATTAACAACTTTCACTTGCCTGGCAATCTCTGCGCAGCCTTGACGGGCAGCGGTCCACAGCCAAAAAATACCTTCCCTCCCCCCGTTGCCCCCATTTCGGCGCACCCCCCACACGTTTCGTGGCCCCACGGGGAGCTCCACCGAAGACCCCAGTGGCAGGGTCCGCGTGCAGTTTCGCCTCCATTTCGGCGCACCCCCGGCACGTTCCGTGGCCCCATAGGGTGCTCCACCGAAGGCCCCAGCGGCAGGGGTCCGCGCCCCAGAATGCAGGCCGCGAGGGCGGGGAGATGGACATGCTCGCCGCCCGTGGCCTTCGGCGCGCCCGCCAGGAGCTCGCCGAGTGCCAGGGCAAGTGCCGCGAGCTGGAGGCGGAGCACGGCGAGCTGGAGAGCATGTCGAGGACGCGCGCGCCACTCGCAGCTGCCCGCTCTCCGTATGGGCCCCACAGGAGGAGGATGAGGAGGAGGAGGAGGAGGAGGAGAAGGAGGAGGAGGCCACGCGAGCTGGAGAGCACGTCGAGGACGCGCGCGCCACTCGCAGCTGCCCGCTCTCCGTCGCGGCCATGGGCACCACACCGTGGGCGCGCGCCTCCTTCGGGGTTCGGAGGACTTCCAAAAATCCTGAAAGGAGGAGGAAAAGGAGGTGGAGGAAGAGGAGGAGGAGGAGGGTAGGTAGAGGGGGGAAGGCCTCTTAGAAGCACCCCTGCTTCTTAGAAGGCGCGGGCCTTCTCTGTAGCTGGAGGGCCGGCGCACTCTGAGAAGCCCCCTCCTTCTAAGAAGCCTTCCCCTACCCCCTTGTGCGCGCCGCGGGTGCGGGTCGGTCCAATCCCCGTGGGCTGGACCCTATTCCCCGGACCGCCGTTTCCTCCCGAGCAATGTTTTAACGGTCTTGGGGCGGCCCTCTGCAGCGGCCGCAAACATGAACGGTCCGTCGTTGGTTGTTCGCAGTGCTAGGGGGTGTGGGATGGGCGGGGGTATACGGCGGCGGCATTGGATAAGGAACGTCTTCCTGGGCCCCAGACCCTGGCATCCTTTATCTTGGCATCGCTCGGACGTGTGCGTTTTTCCTTCGGCGAGGACCATCGAGGAGCATCCTTGATCATGTGGCGACAAAACCACGCACGAAACCTAAAAAAACATAGGGAATGGACGTCCGAGCGATGGCCAGTTATTGTTTCAAGGCGAGGTGGGTGTCCCACGTCTGGCCGCCCGTCGGTCCCGAGACCCGTCGTTCCTTCTTGAAGGCATCCTTGTCTCAAACCTCCACCGTGCCCGCATCCACCACCTCCCTGGCATCGCTCGGACGTGTGCGTTTCCCCTTCGGCGAGGACCATCGAGGAGCATCCTTGATCCTTTGGCGACAAAACCACGCACGAAACAGAACAAACAAAAAAAAAACACAGGGAATGGACGTCCGAGCGCTGGCGAGCCTCCCGCAGGCCTCGGTGGCACGGCCCCCCCGGCAGTGGGCACTGGACATCCGCCGGCGGCGCACCGCTCCGTCGCGGCAGCGGGGGCCCCCGCGCCTCTCGGTTGCGCGCGCGCGCCGCCCACAGCCCCCAGACCTCTCCCACGGCATGTGCGCTCCATCCCGGCGCTTCTCGCAGCGCGTGCTCCCACACCGCAGATCGGTCGGGCTCGGCAGGAGGAGGAGGAGGAGGAGGAGAAGGAGGAGGAGGAGGAGGAGGGGGAGGAGGAGGCAGCGAAAAGAAGGGGGCTGGGGCCCTGGTCGCGATTTGCCACGATGTGGCGCGATCGGCGAGGGCCCCAGATCTCCGACGACCTATCTTTTGGGTTCTCCACATCCCGGCGTTGGGGTTCTCGATTTCGTTCCCCGGGGCCCGTTACGGCGGGGGCGCTCGTGATCCCCTTCCTCCTCTCTGTCTCTTCCCCCTCCTCCCCTTCCTCGCGACTGTTTTTTTTGTGCGGTCCGTTGGTCTGTTGACCGGCCCGTTAGGTTCTCGTGGCCAGGTGGGTCTTACTGCGGCCCGCGCTGACCCTTCACTTTAAATTAGTATGTAAAGGTTTCCTAGCTCTGGAGATCCTGGCAACCCTTAAGGGCTTGCGCTCCCTTCTAGAAAAAGATGGCCGCACGAAGGACCATCTGGAGGCGCGTTGGAAGCAATCTAGTAGTGTTTGTGCCAATCTTCAACGCAACATGTAAACAATAAGTTTTTGAAGCAACGTGGGAAGCCCAGCTGCATATCCGAGGGTGTGCGTAGTGATGGGAAACTGGTTCGGAAAACGGGCTCGAAACAGTTGTCCTCTTAACATCACAATCATCAGCAGATTTATCCTCATCCTCCCCGCGATGATCATCCCCCCTCTCGTTTTACACTTGTCAACATAACATGCGTAATCTCCCTTCATCCCTCTTTCTTGTCATCATCACCCTGGCCCCCATGTTCCTTCTCCTGGCTTCTCACACCTACCTTTTCCCGCTCCTCCTCCTCCTCCTCCTCCTCCTCCTCCTCCTCCTCCTCCTCCTCGTGGTTGTTCGTTGTTCCTTCTCTACCTCTGCACTGCGCTCCTCCCACGGCATGCTCCTGCTGCCTCCCTTCCTGCTGGCCCCGCCTGCTGCCTAACTGCATGTCGGCTCCTCCTGCTGCATGATCGTCATGCCTCCTCCTCCTTGCCTCCTCCACCTCATCCGCCACTTCATCATATTGCCTCCTCCTGCTCCTCCTCCTCCTCCTCATCCTTGCCCTCGTCCCACCTCCTACTGCCTTTGCCTTCTCGTTGTCGTCCTCGTCCTCGCCCTCAGCTTAGTCCTTCTCCCCCTCCCCCTCCTCCTCCTCCCCAGAGTCATCAAGTAGTCATCGTCATCGACATCATCGTCTTCATCATCGGATTCGGAATCGGAATGATCATAATCAGCATCATCACCATCATCATCATCAGCAGCATCATCATCATCGTCGTCATCACCATCAGCAGCAGCAGCATCACCACCACCGTCGTCTCCACCACCATCATCATCGTCATCACCATCATCATCATCATCATCACCATCATCACCATCATCATCATCATCATCATCATCATCATCATCATCATCATCCTCACCACCACCATCATCATCGTCGTCGTCGTCATCGTCATCGTCATCGCCGTCGTCATCGGCATCGTCGTCATTCTCGTATTCATATCAGCATCAGCATCGGCACCAGCAGCACCACCAGCAACAACATTATCGTCATCATCATCATCAGCAGCAGGATCGGTATTAGCACCAAAAGCATGTTCGTCCTCATCCTCTTGTTCCTCATCATCATCCATCTCCTCCGTCAGCAAGAAGATATCCTGCTGCTGCGGATGGGGCGGCCGGTTTGCAAGTCGCGTGGCCGATCGAGGAGGAGGAGGGGGAGGAGAACGAGGAGGAGGAGCAGCAGCAGCAGCAGTAGGGAGAGGAAACATGAAGAGGGAGGTGGAAGGGGGAGGAGGGAGGTGAGAGGAAGAAGGGGCCCCCACGAGGCTCTTCAGAGGCACCAGGAAGCTATTCAGAGGGGCCCAAGAGGCTCTTCGGGCGGCCCAGGAAGCCCTTCAGGGGGGCCCAGAGGCTCTTCGGAGCCCCCCCCCCCCCCCCAGAAGCTCTTCAGGGGGGCCCAAGAGGCTCTTCAGAGGCCCCAAGACGTTCTTCAGAGGCCCCGAGAGGCTCTTCAGAGGACCTAAGAGGCTCTTCTGAGGCCCCGAGACGCTCGCCAGGCGGCCCAGGAGGCGCTTCAGGGGTGACCAAGAGGCTCTTCAGGGAGCCTTCAGGGGGCCCAAGAGGCTCTTCAGAGCTTGCTCCACCGTTCTCGAGGGTTCACCTACTCTGGAGGACCCTTGGCCGTACTAGAGCCCAACGGGCAGCACAAAAGCCCACCTTGCCGCAGTAGAACCTTATATCCCCCTTCCTCCACCTCCTTTTGAGAGGCTCTCGCAGTACCCGCGGACCCCTGAGCCGATGGCCCCCATTCGTAGGACCGATCTGTGACATCTAGACGCTTGACGCAGCCCTTCTCCCCATCTCTCTCTCCCCTCCCCTTCCTCCTCCCTCCCCTTCCTCCCCTTCCACCAAGTCGCTCTGCTGAGCCTGGCGGCCCTCAGGGCATATACTTGTGCAGCACCCGGGAGGTTGAGGCAAGGTAAACCTTCAAAGAGGACGTTTTTTGATTGGGGTAGCACTGTCGATACCGTCATTGATGCATAGTCTGTCAAGTATCCCCCTGTCTGGCAATCTCTTCGGAAGCTTGGCTGGCTGTGGTCAACAGGTACAAACAACTCTCCCTCGCTTCCCCCCTCCCCTCCCCCTCCTCCCCCTCCTCCACCTCCCCCCTCCACCCCCTCGGCAGGCGGGAGTGCGGTGCGGCCCTGATCCTCCGGGCGCAGCTCGAGAAGGCGGCCCCCGGCGCGGCGCTGGCAAACACGGGTCGGCGCACGCCCCCCCGCCCCCCCACCTGGGAGGGCGCGAGGCCCCGGGGCGGCGGGGCACCGCGGGCGGCGGGGAGGGCAGGTGCGGACGGGAGGCCGGGGGGCCGAGGAGGGAGGCGGAGGCTCGACGGGGAGGGGGGAGGAGGAGGGTCGGGCTGGACGAAAGGGGGGGATTGGGAAAGGGGGGGGTCCGAAATCTGCCGCGTGCATTTGGTTTCGGCCCCACCGAAGGGGCCCATTCCTCGATACGTAGCCGCTTCCGGCGCCGGGAGGCGCCGGGAAAAGCAGCTACGCAAGCTGATTCTCACCCCCCCCCTTGGCTATCCCCCCCTTTCGCCCGGCCCGAGAGGTGGAGGGGGGAGGGGGAGGGCGGGAGAGGGAGGGGCGACGAGGCGCAGGCGCTCCTCCCAGGCATCCGCGTCCACCTGGCGGCGCGAGAGTCGGCGCGTCGGCCACCGAGGGACTTGGGGCGTGGGCGCGCCGCCCGCGCGCGAGGAGGGTTTCCGGATGGCGCAGCGGATTCAACCGCTGGATGGTCAGGTCATGGATCGGGGGTGGACAGACAGACCTCCTACCCTGACACGTCGATTCGCGAATTGGCCGTTTTCGCTTCGCGAGAGGGCGTCGCGGCCGTCATTCTTGCGGGTCCAGGTCCGTCGGTTTCAGTCCCAGGCCGTTGTCACTAAAGGGAGGTTTACTAAAGGGAGGTTTGTCCACCGCCGAATGAATCGGCACTCAAGACGCCCAAACAAGAAGGGGCTGGTCCCCAAGCAGTGATTGGGCACGGGCGCCACGCAGTGCTGGCAGGCGTTGCGCCCTTCTCTTCAGGGAGAGGGCAGCATAAGCGCAGCACCAGCTGGGCCGCGCGCAACAGCAACACAGTACGATGGCAGGATATCAGCTCCACAGGCAGGAAGGCAGAACGGTCCTGTGCGGTTTCTTTGTGCAGGGCCCCTGCCAGTGCGACAAGTCAGGTGCCAAGGCGCAACCATGCTGCGTAGAACACCTGAGAACGGAAAGCCATCTTCAAGCCCAAAACTGCGCGCAGACAAGACGGCGGAGGAAAGCATGATGAATCTTCTCGCTAAGACGAGGGAGACATGGCACGTGCAGCAACTCGACCACTGAGGAAGGAGGAGGGGAAATACTCAGGAGGAGGAGAAGGAGGGGGGGAACGATGAGGGGGAGGGGGAGGAGGAGGAGGAGGAGGAGGAGGAGGAGGAGGAGGAGGAGGAGGCGGAGGCGGAGGAAGAGGAGGAGAAGATTTTCGGAGGGAGGGAGGCTTTTTGACTATACTTAGCTCGTTGCAAGTTAGCTTGAGCGCAGCGGCCAAAAGGACTGGCACAGGCTGCACACGAGAAGCCCGAGAGCATGGACGCTGAGCTGCTTCCGCTCTCGTCCCGAAAACTGTCAGGAGAGAGGTATTGGCGCTGAGGGAGGGGAGGAGAGGAATCATAACGAAGGAGGAGGAGATTGCAGCGCCGTGCGAAGAGAGACATCAGCGGCACCCTGCTTCGTTGCCCATAGAAGGGCAGCCCTCGATGCAGAGAGCAGTGCGAGGCAGGAAAAAGAAGAGACCTGCCTGGGAGTGCCTTCCGAATTTCGGACTGCTATTAAGAGGGAAGAGCTGGACGGAGGGCCAAAATGGCCAGGCCGCATTGCGGCTGTCCAAACCTCCAGGGGAGGAGATCTGGACTGAAGGAGGAGCTAGGGAAGTCAAAAGAGGCGGGAGAGGAAGAAGGGCCGGAATGGCATGGCCGTGTTGCAGGGCGTACGCTGCAGCTGAGAGGCCTGTACGGGCCGACCGCGGCGGGGAGGTGGGTGTGCCTGGGCGCTAGCCGAGACCAGACAGCAGAGACCCACCTCCGTGTGGCCCCTCACAGGCACACAGGGACCAAGGGGACCCTGCTACACCTGGACGAGGGCCAGAGAGACAAGCCAAGGCCAGTGCCGCGTTCCTCCCACGAGGCACATATGTTTGCCGCGGCCTTGCCTCAGCCGCGCAGCCAAGACGCACTGGGGCATGGTGCCTGTCTGCATATATGGCACCTTCGCTGGCCGCCTTGGCCGAGAGTTACTCGGCGGGGCTGTGCTGTAGCATCGTTAGGTAATGAGCTGCCAAGGTGAACCAAGAGTATTAGGCCAGCTCGCCACCTAGGAGACTCAGCCGTGGCGAGTCTGCGAATTGCTGTGTGAGCAAGCCGATCGCTGTATAGCGAGGCTGCTAAGAAGTGCCGCGTTGGCCCCACTCATGCGGCAAGGTGGAAGGTCGAGCCCCTGATTGGCAACGACTCTTGCACAGGCCCTCCAAGGGGGGCCGGTAAAAAGCAGAGTGACTAGGTGGGCTGCCGAGGTATGTATTAGGCTGGCCCCGCCCCTGTGTGGCGCATTGACGGTTGCATCATGGGCGCCCATCCCATATTACCTGAGATGGTGCCGGCTGGATGCCGCACAGTTAAAGGCCTTACGGGCGCTGAAAGAGTTGCAGCTGCAGCTGAAAGGCCTGTGCGGGCCGTCCGCGACGGGGAGGTGGGTGTGCCTGGGCGCTAGCCGAGACCAGACAACAGAGACCCACCTCCGCGTGGCCCCTCACAGGCACACAGGGACCAAGGGGACCCTGCTACACCTGGACGGGGGCCAAAGAGATGCGTCGGGGCAGAGGCCGCGTTCCTCTCATGAGGCACTTGTGGCTAGGACTGTCTAGGTATTGAGCTGCCAGGGCGAACCACGAGTATTAGGCCAGCCCATCCCCTAGAGACTCCGCCGTGACGAGTCTGCGAATTGCTGTGTGAGCCTAGCCGATCGCTGTTTAGCGAGGCTGTTAAAATGTGCTGCGCTGGCCGCACTAGTGCAGCAAAGTGAGAAGTCGCGCCCATGAGTGGCGACTACTCCTGGATAGGGCCCTCTAAAAGAGGGGCCGGTGGAGAAAAGAGCGCTAGGTGGGCTGCCGAGGTAAGTATTAGGCGGCTCCGCCCCTGTGTGGCACATTTACGGTAGCGCCATGGGCACCCATCCCATATTGGCCTGAGATGGTGTCGACTGATGCCGCAAGAGCTGCAGTGAGAGTGTGCACCTGAAGGCCTCACTGCAGCGGAATGTATGCCGGCTTGGCCGGCCTTAAATTGGAGACGCGGTGTCTCCTTTATAAGAGTTTGGCTAGCAAAGAAGGCTTGGGCTGAATAGGTGGTGGGCTGCAGGCAAACCAGAATCTGAGCATTGTGCTAACCCACCACCTATGCGTGAGGACTCAGCCGTGGCGAGTCTGCGAATTGATATGTGTGAGCGGCGCTCAGCCGCCTCACTGTTAGCGGGGCTGCCCAAGGTTGCAGAGCCGCACAATGACGGGAAGGGCTGGATGCTGCTAGACTCGCGTGGCATACAACTCAGCTATGCAGGACGGCTCGACCGACCTTGAGTTGGAGCGGCATGGCTCCAGCTGTTTAGGTGGTGGGATGCCGAGGTGGAGAGAAGACGCATAAAGGATGTGGAAAGGAAAGTATTAGGCGAGCCCACCACCTAAGTATGCACGCTGCTAGTGGCGCCGAGGTCGCTTAGGTCGACCTAGAAGGGCGCTGACTGATGCGTCATTAGCGTGGCTCGCTCAGGCACTGAAGGGCGACGGGTTGAGAGTGCGGGCGGCAGCAGAGAGCGCCGAGAGACCTGCCGCTGTCGCCGCCGCACGCGCCTGGGCCTCTTGCGCGGCAGCCTGCTGCTGGTTGTAGTGGTTCCTCAGCATGGCCTCCACCTCAGAGATGGTCGCCAGGCCTGGGGTCTCGATCCACTCCCAGTCCCAGGTTTCGACGACCTGGCCGTCGATGACGTCCAGCGACTTGAGCTTCCAGACGAACGGGTATAGCATGCCGTTGGGCATCTTCCATTCGCCCGGGTAGGTGGAGGGCCACCACTTTTTGAACTCGCGCGTGGCGGCCGTGTATTGGGAGCCCTGCCAAGCCGAACCAGCATAGGTGTCACCTGAGAGGCCGAAGAGCTCCCGCGTGTCAGGCGACGCCCTGCTGGCCTCGGCCGCGCCCGCCTCCGCCGCGGCCGCAGCGGAACCACCCGCGGGAGGCATGGGCACCATGGCGGCGTGGGGCGCGCTGAGAGAAGGGGGGAGTGCCGAGGAAGCAAAAAGAAATAGCCCATAAGCCAACGGCGGCCAGATGTGAGTGAAACCTAGCTGGCCTGTGCTAGCATCTGTGTGAGGAGGACCCTCCTGACGGGCCGACTGATGCCCGCCTGGCCTGGTGCGGAGTCTATAGGGATGAGGATGTTGCCGCTACGCATGTTGACCCGCAGCGCAAGACCGGTGCGGTAGGGTATGCCCGTGCCAAATAAGATGGGCCGTGCATCCATCTCCTGAAGGATGGGGAGGTGAAAAATGCGCGGCCTTTCCACAGAGGATGGCAGCCTGGTCTCCTGCCCATGGAATTGCTCCATTAGGAGCCCTACATTGATGGACAGTGGGGACCAAAGCGAAATGGGGCCTGTTGTTATCACTACCATCCACTGCACTGCTGTAGGCGGTGGTGGCGCTGCTTCAGTGGGGGCGCAGCGGAAGTCACCGTGCTCGAACTGCGGCAGGTGCTGCGCCTCTGGGGTCGGCATGGCCTGAGGGCTTAGGGTTCGGGGAGGCGGAGGATTCGAGCGAGGTGGGACAACGGGAGGCTGAATGGCCGAACCATGATCATGGCCTGGAAGTCTATAAGGATGGGGCTGCCGGCCGCTGCATCCTGCAAAAGCCTGTGAGGGCTGAGGGAGGCCTGCTCCCAGGCCCCCGATTGAAGTAGGACCAGAAAAAGTTGGTTCGGCACGTAAACTGAAACTAGCCCTATGGTGGGTGAGAAACGGGCATCGTAGGGACCGTCCCCCGCAGCACATTGGGGGTAGATGTGGAGTAGGTTGGGGGAGTTGGCCTCGCGCCAGCGGCCATGCCAGCGCTCGAGTGCGCGATTAACGGCCGTGGGCAA